TATAGTTGAGGCTATCTTTCACTCTTTTTTACATTGTTTAATTAATTTCATTTTTGATAAAATTGTATGAAAGTTTTCAGAACCTAGCTTAGGGTATGAAGGTGACACACATGCTTAGTTATTGAGAGAAAGCATCTCTTGATGGTGATTGTGCATTCATTTATTTGTCCTAGTTTCCTTTTTTATCTCTCTCCTTGTTAAGTAAATTTTGTTCTTGTAGTATTTTCATTCCTTAATACATCACAGTCCTCCAAAACCCTTTCATATATTAATATATTAATATAATCCAATTCAATTCATAACTACAGTAATTTTATAACCAAGTTCAGTAATGTACATGCATTCTCGAATATTCAGTAAAAACTATTAAGAAAAATTTATAAAAAAATTTTACACGATCAGAATTACATGACATGAATGACGAATTCAAAAACTATTTTACCAAATCAAATAAGAATAAATAAACAAAAATTTCATCAGGGCACATGAGTTTTGAACCTGGGTGTAATTTTATGACAAGCATAGAGTTGCCAATTGTATCTAACTTTATATGTATTTTTGGAACGTATTAGAAAAGGGTTAATGGATTCGGTTTTCCATTTTGATTTAGCATATTTTATATTCTTTTTGTTGATTAATAAATTTAACCTTTCAAAAAAAAAATTTGAAGAAAAGCATTAAAAATATGTGGTTTGTAATATAATTACGTCACATCTAATTCGTAGAACCATCAAATACCAGGTTATACTTCTTGAAGGAAAAAATTGGTTTGATCTAATATTATAAATTTATAATCGTGTCACCACTTAATTAGTTTCTATTAATCTACGGTGTGAAAGTAAGGAAGAGAAGAACAAGTCGGTGAGGTACTCTCGCGAAAGTAAGTGAATGGTCCTAATGGCTTCCGTTCACATCGGTTCCACATACCCCTTCCTATATTTAAGCACTTGTCTCTCCTCCTCATAATCTCAAACTTCTCTATTATTAATAAGTGTCACAATTCAAAAAAAATCAAACCACACAAACTTGTTGTACTAACTTTCCAATTCATTTCTCTCACTCATATTGTTGTTAATTTGATCGATTATGGCAAAAGTTGTTGAAAATAAGGCGTTCGGATTGGCTGCGAAAGACAATTCCGGAGTTCTCTCACCTTTTCATTTCTCTAGAAGGTTTCGATCATTATTTTTATTAATCTCTATCTATTTTGTTTCGAATGATCCTAGAAAAAGATTTATGTGTGTGTTTTTTTTTTTGTAAAAAAAAAACTAAAGTTTTGGTGGAATATAATGTGTAGGGAGACAGGAGAGAAGGATGTTAGGCTCAAAGTATTGTTCTGTGGAATTTGTCATAGTGATTTGCATATGATCAAGAACGATTGGGGAGTTTCTATTTACCCTCTCGTCCCTGGGTAAGACATGAATTTCTATTCTGTAAAATAATTGCTTTATATATACAAATTTTTATGTATCAAAACTCTTTCTAGGAATTGTTAGATTAGATCATGATGAGTATTTTAGTGTGTTGCCAGATAATAACACATGTTGAGTTTTTTTTCTAATCATTACTGTTAGATGCAAAAACTATATACCGAATCCAAAATGATAAATGGCAACAGCATCAATTTTTTAGTATTGTTGTCGGATGTTTTTTTTTTTTTTTGGTCAAAATTTTGTCGGATGATACATACTATTTTTGTTTAGTATGGTTATGATATATAAAGTATGACATGTTGCCAAATATAATATGGTTCCAAATATATGATACATATAATTTAGAATATTCTCCAATATTCTTATCTTAAATTTTAGCTTAAGTATGGCACTCTACAAACTACAATCATATCATCTCTTTCATTGGCTTCAAATATTGGAAATTACTTTACCTTTTGTAACAGCAAGAACAAAAATATATATTGCTAAACAATTTTTAAGAAAAATATTGCTAAATTTTATGGAAAACTCGTTTTTTAGTAATATGGCAATTGTTAGCCTCAACATCGCTAGGGAACAGTATATGGGTTTTTGTTATAATTATAAAAAATAAAGATGATATTTAATCCGAAATTGAGTTTTTCTTTTCAGGCATGAGATTGTGGGAGAGGTGACCGAAGTCGGAGCCAAAGTGACTAAATTCAAAGCCGGAGACAAAGTGGGAGTTGGGTGCTTGGTCGGCTCGTGCGGGTCATGTGACAGCTGTGACGAAGGTCTCGAGAACTACTGTCCGAAACTGATCCAAACGTACGGATTCAAGTACTACGATGACACAATGACCTACGGTGGTTACTCCGACAACATGGTTTGTGATGAGGACTTCATCATCCGTATTCCGGAGAATCTCCCCTTGGACGCTACCGCGCCGCTACTATGCGCCGGGGTCACGGTCTATTCCCCCCTTAAGACTCACGGGCTAGACAAGCCCGGTATGCACATTGGTGTGGTGGGACTAGGCGGTTTGGGTCATGTTGGAGTAAAATTTGCTAAGGCTATGGGTACTAAGGTTACGGTTATTAGTACTTCGGAGAGTAAGAGAGACGAGGCGATTAATCGGCTTGGTGCGGACGCGTTCTTGGTGAGTCGTGACCCGAAACAAATTAAGGATGCAATGGGGTCTATGGATGGTATACTTGATACCGTATCCGCGACTCATCCGCTTCTTCCGTTGCTCGGTTTGTTGAAGCAAAAGGGAAAACTTGTTATGCTTGGTGCACCGAATAAGCCACTCGAGCTCCCAGTGCTGCCTCTAATCTTCCGTAAGCTTATTTTTTCTGTCTTTTTTTCTTATGATATATTTTCGATTCAAACCAAATATACATACATATTCTTAAAATATGGAAACTATTTAGCCACATAGTTTACATTTTTGTCGATATTTAGACAAATTGATCGAATGATTTCTTGTTTAAATTTGTCGTGTCTAGTCAATGAAGCGCGGAAATGCATACATGACACTGAAAATATGTTTTTTGGTGGTTGTTTATTGTGTATATATATAGAGAGGAAGATGGTTACGGGAAGTATGATAGGAGGTATAAAGGAGACTCAAGATATGATGGATATGGCCGGGAAACACAACATCACGGCGGATATTGAGCTTATCTCGGCGGATTATGTCAACACCGCCATGGAAAGGCTTGAGAAGGCCGACGTTAGGTACCGATTTGTGATTGATGTTGCCAACACATTGAAGCCTAATCCTTCGTTATAAACCTTAAGAATTGAATTTCTCCCAAAGCTTTTTCTCTTGTTTGGTTTGATTAAGTTTCCTGATGTTTCTTGAGGAGGTTGCATGATTATATTGTATGCTTTAATCAAAATTAATAAACTTGAACATTTAATAATTCTCTCTATATGATAAGATTTTGTGGTAAGCCAAGAATTGTAAATTTGTACGGTGCATATTTGAGATTTCGATAATTAACAACGATGAATTAAGCGAAAATATTTTCAACTAACAAAAAGTATCGCAACAAAATAGACTAATACAAATCTTGATTTGACGAAATCACATGATTAATGAGAAACTAGAAGATCTTAGAATCAGTTTATCATTACGAGACCTGAAATTAAATAATCGTGCTAATGTGTGACGTCAATTAATCTTTCATATTCGATGGAGGAGCAATAAGAGTGAAAAGTCAAAGAGGATAATAAATGAAACGTACGACTTTGTGTTGTGTTGCTTCCAACAAGAGAGGAGACAATGAATTTCGAGTTTGTTCCCAATGCGAAGCACTCCACTCCTTGTTATGGCTTCTCTTTCTTTACCTCGTACCTTTTACTACACACTCATCTAGCTCTCTTCCCTAGATCGATCTTATCTTGTTTTGTCTTGTCTGTATATTAGATTTAGTAGTATAATACTATAAGGGATATATACAAGTGCCTAAATCAATTTCTTTTCCAATGAAAAACTTAAGTAAGCTTAAGAACATGATTCAACCTCTTATCTCTCTCTCAAGGTAATCTTTGCTCAACCAAATGAGTTATTATCTATGTTGATCTATATGTATGTAACTGGTTTTATTATTTAGATAATTATAAATGAATTTTACTTTATCAATTAGAAGATCAATTTAAATATTTATCAACCAAATGAGTTACAATTAATTGAACCGCGACATGAATATGCATGAATGGAGAGGTTTTGGTTGTTAACCCGCATCAACTGCTATCACTATTTTTTGCTTATAACTCACATGTAGAAAAAAGTTTTGGACTCTAGAAAATCACAAATTAGAAATAAAAAATGGACATTTTACATATTTTCAAAAAAAAAAAACTGTTTTGTAAATAGAATCGACACTAGTTTTTAGAAAGCCGCAAGCTCATGTTTGGTCCGTTTGGGCTCAAAATCGGCCCTTATAATATTATATTTTTATTTCTCGGTTATAAAGTTATAACATA